TTAAATAAAAGAGGCGTATCTCTTTAAGCTTATAATTTTGCGATAATAAATCAAAATGACAGATATACGTACACGAATGAAATTGTAATATTGGCTGCGTTCAGCAGAAAAAGCAGCTTTGCAATTGTTATAAAATTCTTGAATATGATTGATTTATACATTTGGATCCAATAAGGAATTAAGGGCAAGACCAATCATATTAGAGAATTTTACAACAGTTGCAAAAGCTGCTTTTTCTGCTGAATGCAGCCATTAATTTGTAAAATCTACATTTAAAAAAGTAAACATTCGTTTATTTTATTGCAATATATAATTAATACGCTATATTTGTGAAGCTTGCTGCATTGGAAATTAAAATCTACTTACTTTTTATCTACTTTTATCTGCCATTAAAATATTTTCAATCGTCATTCCATTCAGAGATTTTTCTTTTCTAATGTTAGTATGTAATAATCTGAGATATTACGATGAGGTATTAATTCTATTCCAGCAATGAGAATATTTTTGCTTTCTACTATGCAAAGTAATTTAGTAATAAATTACTAAAATTTTAGCTTTTTCTACTGAAAATGTTACAATTTCATTCATGCACATATAATCTGATCATCATTTTGATTTATTATCGCAAAATTATTAAGCTTAAAGAGATACAATCTCTTTCATTTAATGATACAAAAGATATTCAAATTTAAACATTTTTCTTCTCTCTTAAAGAAACTTTTCATAAAAAGAAATTTAGAAATTTTAATTCAACAGATAGTATAGAAAATATATAATTATATAATAAATTTTTATTACAGCGAAGCTTGACTCATATTATTAAAAATCTATGCAATATTTTGAAAAGCATTTATGTATGTAACAATTAATATCGCATTCGTTATTATTATTATTTAAGAAAATCATATATCCAACTTTTTTACAATTTGTCAAAGAAACAGAAAAAACAGATAAATGTTATTACGTTTATAATGATCTTCTCATTTATTAATATACTTTCTAAATAACATTCCTAATAATGTCTTATAATTACAATCTAATTTTATAATGCTTTTACAGATATGGTATTATGTATTTCTTGTATGGAGTAACCGGCTAAGTAACTATGCTTAACTGCATATAGCACTCTTGACATAACTAGAGACTAACGCGACGCATTAATCTCGAATTGTGCCAAGTAGTGCAACTAGAGAAAGTTCATGAGAATTGGATATTTCGTATTTGATTGAGAGCATTCGGCAATCACATTACATTCAATGGAAATATATGTCCCAATGTGTTTTTAAAAAAATCATTTGTCTTACACACACACAAATTGAGTCACTCTTGTTTCCCTCTAGAAGTCTTCCTTTTTAAAAATATTATAGTAAAATATTATATATTTTTTTAATATTTCTGGAATGACTTAATCACAATTTTGAAAATTCATTGAAAAATATTTTTTAATGCAAGAAACTTTTACAAAATATTGATTATATTACGTTATTCTTTTTTCGTTTTAATATGATTTCAAATAAAATATTTTATATATTATACATTATAAAATAAATTAATAAGTCATTCAACCAGTCTCTTTTCTCGATTTGGTTTACTCTTAACCGTTTTAGGACTTAACCGTTGTCTCTCTCTACTTCTCCATTTTGTTGCGGCCAATAAGGGATGATGTTGTGTAATGTGATATTGTTTTCCTTACAAGAATTCTGCGAATTTTTTCTTCACTTATGAATTGCTTATCATTGTTGACTGTCACCGGAAATCCCCACTTTTGAAAAAGTTTCCTTTAACATTTTTATAGTTTCTTCGCTAATTATGTTCTTTGTGATTTTTATTTCTTTATAACGATTGAAATAATCAATAATAACAAATAATAACAAATATTGGCCGCTGGGCAGAGGATAATCAACAGCGATATCAACTCAGGGTTCTATTGATAGATTCTGTGTTTTAATGGATTCGATGGGTTGAGCATGGAAACTAAGATACCTTTTGCAAGCTTTTACGCAGTTCTCTGCGACTTTATCTATCTGGGATCTATCTATTCCAGGACTCTTCTATGCAATTTCAATTGGTACTACAATTTTCATACCTCTTAACAAAATCTCATTGTAATAACAAGCTCAGTTTCAAACAGTTTATAGGTATTAGTTTCTTTTTCTCATATATATCATTATCATATATGCCTTTTTCGACTTTATTGATTTTATCATCGTTTTCAGCTTTGTTATCTTTAAGAGAAACAGCTGTAGGTCTTGAATACTCTATGATTTAATTAACATAATTGTCATTTTCGAAGTGTTGTGCTGAACTATTATTATCGAAGCTTGAAAGAGGTCCATATTGGATTTACTTGATCGATATTTTGTTACTCGATATTTGAAAGCCTGACTAGAACCTATCTTTCAATCCTAGGGTTTCGACTTGAGTTCAAATATGACCTCCAAAGATTTGTAATCAGTGACCAGCTCAAATTCGCTCTTATCAAGGAGATATGTTTTAAAATGTTCTATATAAGAAATCGTATAGAACACTTTAAAACATATCTCCAGAAGATATTGGAGATCCGACCCATTGAATCTAATACCAAATTTTTTGGAACCTGTACAGTCTTGACTTTTCTCTTAATTTATATCTTATGCTATCAAATTTTACTGATATCAAGGATTTTTACTAACTTGTATAAACCGAGATAATCTTTCAGCGTTGATAAATCGGCTTAATTTTTATATCAACAAAAGAGACAAAAATTATGCAATTATCCAATATGAGATTAAAATAAGGAAAGCTGAGTAAATTGTGAAAATTATTTTTGCCGATTCGGCCAATGAAATAAAATTGCTCCATGTCCGCTATCACGTCAAAGAATGACAAGGAACCGAAGCACGGGAATCCACGTATAATCCAGCAATAAAATTCTGTTCTTTTCTTGATCGAAGAAAATTTATTGGGTTGTCCGGAAAGTTCGTGCCGACTAGTCTATATAATTTAATAAAATTTGTATACTAAAATTTAAATCTTCTGCGTTTCAATTTTCCTTCAACATCGGCACGAACTTTCCGGACAACCCAATATTTTGCGATCGAAATCCGAAAATGGACCGTCGATTAGTAATAATAATAATTAGTAAAATTATCGAAACCGCGCGGATATAATGTTTATATATCGCGGGACTGGGAGGGGGGGGGGGGGGGATAGTTAAACCATTCGTTATCTATGTCAAAAGAGTAACGTATTTTTGTGATATTCATTCATGTGATTTTGTGATATTTAAAACTATTTGAATTTCGCCAAGGATCTGATCTAGCTCAAGGCCGACTACTTTCATTCCGAAATTCTATGAAATTAAACGGATTTCCATGAATCGCTCTTATCTAACACTAAGATATCTAAACAGCTGAGCTTCCTGTCAAAATACTCATACATATTACACCTTCTTCCAGAAGTTATAAAAGTTTATAAAATTTAAGAAAAAAAGAAAGAGAGAGAGAGAGAGAAAGGGAGAGAGAGAGAGAGAGAGAGAGAGAGAGAGAGAGAGAAAAGAATAATTTGGTTTAACATGTTTTTATATAAAAAAAATTTCAAAAAAGAGTAAATTATAGATAACTATGTAATAGTGTTGTTGAAAAAAGTTTTCTTGTAAATTAAAAAAAAAATGTCAAGCTTTTATCTCTCTCGAAGAAGAAGAAGAATAATTTTAGACTTATAATTTATACTTTTATTACAGAAAATTAAATCTATTTATAATATACAAAAAATAAATTTATAATATACAAAAAATAAATTTTGCTGTCCATGTCTTCTATCTAACATCCTACAAACAACAATAATACTTTCTGCGCATTATGCGTGCAACAGAGCACAGTATATCGCAAACATGTTAAACTTTTTCTCATGTCTATCTTTAACTCAAAAGATTAATTAATCGGAATTTTCATATGTGTATGTATTTATAAAAACAATTTCTTCAGGTTTTGACTTTTAAATGAGAACTCTATTCAATTCAAGCGCATATAAAAATGCAGAGAAGAGAAAGATTAATTTTAATTTTAATTTTTTATGGCATGTTTTTTGATATTAGTTTGATAAGTTATTAGTGTTTTGCTTTTCTTATTTAATTAATTCTCTTTAAAAACAAGTGCTATTTTAGAAATCGAAGAAGAGGTGCACAGCAATATATATAACATTACATTATATATATTTTTATTTTAGAATGAGATAATAAAATGAATTAATAATGATATGAGATTTTAGAAGAATTAAGATGCGATCAATCATATACTTATAAAACTTATATTAATCGAAATGAAGTTAACGAAAATAATCGGTAATATGGTTAATCGAAAGAATGTATTGCTTCGGATAAAAAATTGCGCAACAATGTAACTCTGCAATGAAAATTCTCAAATGAAATTGATAGTTAGTGATGTAAGCAAAAACAAGAATCGACATACATTTTGGAAAGCAATTAAATTATATTAAAAGTTTAATGTAGAAATGAAAACATTTTACAAACGTTTTCTAAACTTTTTAATTTTCTGAATAGGCATGTATATCGATGAAATCTTTTATGCATTTTAATGCTGCATCAGGTAAAAGTATGAAATAAAAATATTTTTATTATATATAATAATTATTATAATA